CATATCTACAAATAACAATAAAAAGGCTCCAGTTGACTTCCTCCAGTGTTGCTAATTTACATTTGGGATTAATAAACCATTTGAAGAAAAACAACAACAAACCCAATGTTATAACTGTAAGAAGATGATGTCATCATAAAATATAATAATAAATGTAAAGCGTTTTTTATGGTTAAAAGTCAAAGTCTTTCTTCTTGTTTCCCTTTTCATTGTAGCTCCGTGTGTCTCCCTGTTTCCCACTCTCTCCTTTCCTGACAGTTTCTTCTCACCTTTCTTCTTCCTTCTGGAACCCAAATTTTGAAGCAGCAGTTATCTTCATCATCCTCATCCATGGACACTCTGAGATGGATAATGACATGATGTTGTATATTACTGCTGAGCTGGGTGTTGTAGTGAAGACTTGAACAGAAAGATGTGGATGAGCTGTGCAGACGTTCAGCTGTGCTCCTGTCTTTTTGTCTGCAGGATGGAGAGCTGTGGACTAACAGAGAGATGTTTTGAAGATCTGGTCTCTGCTCTTCAGTCTCAACACTCCTGTGTGAGAGAGCTGGATCTGAGTGTCGATAACCTGGGGGATTCAGGAGTGAAACTGTTGTTTGCAGCTCTGAGGGATCCCAACTGTAAATTAACAATACTGAAGTAAGTGAACACTGGTGATTTCTTTGTTTTTTATTGTTTTATTTAGGTATGCTTTTTGCCTTTTTCACATACATCCACACCTTGGAATTACAAAATAAAAAAGAAGCCGGGCATCTAGAAGGACAAAAAACTGCTAACACAATTTTATACAAGTTCTTGTTTGTGACTATTGTTATTTGTCAATATCTCATTACTGAGAGATTCAATATGCAATCTTTCCCATTTTGCCCATCTTTTTACACATACTGTATATATATGTTGAGGTTGATGTATAATTCTGTGGGTAATATTCTCCATGAGATTTCATTCATAGAGTCCTTCTTCATTTGAACACAAGGTCTGTCCAGCTTTAACCAATATCTAGTGATCTATTTCATGGCTGCAGTTCTGACAGTTCTCAACAAGTATCTTTTTGCTTCTGAAGGCAGCTCATCTGGTGTTTGTGCCAGAAGAAAAAGGACTCCTAACGAGTTTTTTTTTAATATTTGTTTTTCAGAATATTTCCCCAATTTATTTTCATACCAAAAATGTTTAGGATATGCCAGGTGTTCCCAGCCATTCTTTCAGCAATTTATGTTTCTTCCAATATTGAATATTAATTTTTTACTCACATTCTCTCCATGAATGTGAATTGGTGGATTTCTGCAGATTTGAATGGTTTTAGATTCTTCAATTGCTGTGGAAGTGCCAACCTCCTTTTCTCATTTGCATCTTACTTTTAACTCTTGAGTATTCCTCTTCTGTTTTCTGATATTGTACATACTGTACATCTGAAAGGATGTAGCTCTGGAAATATGTTAGGTATGCAAACCTTATCTATTTGTTAATCTATTTGTAAACGACTCTCCTTCAGACTCTCGATGGTGCTTTAATCAGTTCCTCTCAGCTCAACCCCTGCCTTTTCGATCACGTCACTAGTTTCACTTTCTCCTGCCTGCCCTGCTTGCTTCCAGCAGAGACTGCGCCTGGATTCAGTCTCCAGGTTACTGCTTCCATCAGCTCATTGCAGGAGATTTCACACTGGGTCCCTGAGTTCGATTCCAGACCTGGGGTGTTATCTGTGTGGAGTTTGTATGTTCTCCCCAATGTTTGTGTGGTGTTCCAGTTTTCTTCCACAGTCCACAAACTTGCTTGCAGGTCAATAGGTTTCTGAGGCACTGGTGTGAGTGTGTGCCCTTTGATAGACTGGCATCCTGTTCAGGGTTCAATCCTGCCTTGTGTCCAGTGCTTCCTGGGACAGGCGCTGGGTAACTGTGACCCTGAATTGGATAACTGTTTATTGAAAGTGATGTTGATGGTTTTTGAAATGCTACACTGCCTGCTTTGTCAATTAGCTGACAGTAAAAACTTATTTCTTTAATGTCAGATAAAGTCAAATTTCAGGGCAAACTTCAGTCTAGATTTATTTGGGAGGGAAGAAAACCTCAGGTAAAACCTACAACACTCAAACTCTCCCAAATTTACAGTATTACTTCTGTGCAGCTCAGCTTAAAGCTTCAACAACCTGAGTGACAGCTCAGCAAAGAACCTGAGCTGTTCATCTCACTTAAAACATAATTATTTCTTTCTTTATTCTTTAGTGCCACACAACAGAAGTCAGTGGAATTTGTTTTTGGTACAGAAAAGAACACAGATGAGATATACAGTACATACAACATATACAGTACAAATTTAAATAAAACAGAAGACAGACAAACATCGTCACATACTGTACATATGTAAACAACTTTCCATGTATAGTAGCAGCATCATTATACAGTGGAATTCAGAGTTCAACGTGAATTTAGAGTTCGTATGGCAGTGAGAAAGAAGCTGAGGTTGAATCGGGCAGTCCTTAAGAGGAAGGATCTGAAATGTTTTCCAGAAGGGAGAAGCTGAAAGAGATTATGAGCTGGGTGAGAGGAGTCCGAGATGATTTTCTTGGTAGAGAGATGAAATAGAAGGGAGTTCATAGCCAACAACTTTTGCAGCTTTGGACACAATCCTTTCTAGTTTGCCTTTTGAGTAGTTGTCCAAGCTCCCATACCAGACTGTAATAGAGGTTGTCAGAACACTTTGGATTATGGGTGTGTAGAATTGAAAGAGGAGTTGCCAGTTCACATCCTCTGCTGTGCTTTCTTGACTGGTACTCCATTTAAGATGACTGTTTATGTATGTACCCAGAAATTATAGGAGTTTGTGGTCTCTATAGGATGATTATTAATGAAGACTGGAAGTTTTGTGTCCTGGATGCGTCGGAAGCCAATGATGGTTTTCCTGGTTTTAGAGGCTTTGAGTAGGAGGTCGTTGTCCAAACACCAGGCTGTTCCCCAGTCAATCTGCTTTTGGTATCAAGTCTTATCATTATTCCAGATGAGGCCAACAATGGTTGTGTCATCAGTAATATTTAAAAATCTTGACAGAGTCATCTCGTGATGTGAGGTTGTTAGTGAAAAGGGAAAAGAGCCACAAAGATAGGACACAGCCTTTGGGAGCATCTGTGCTTAGAGTCAGAGAGCAAGATATCCTGTTATTCACCCTGACAGTCTGTTGGCAATGTGTTAAAAGTCTGGAACGACACATAGCAGGGTTGATGTTCAAGTCCATCAGGTTACTGAATCATTTATGTAGATTAATGGTATTGAATGCTGAGCTGAAATCCAAAAAAAGGATGTGGGCATAGGAATTGGGCTTCTGCAAATGGTGGAGTATACATTAGAGAGCCAGATTGACGGCATCTTCAACAGACCTGTTGGCCCTATAGGTAAACTGGTGAGGATCCAGCAGAGGAGTTGTACAGTGCTTGAGGTGCTTAAGCACTAGACGCTCAATGGCTGTCATAGCCACTAAAGTCAGAGCAACTGGTCTGTAGTTGTTGAGGCGAGATATTTTTGAAGATTTAGGAACAGGTATTATAGTGGATATTTTAAAACTGTGAGGGACTTTCTGCTGAAGAAGTGAAGTATTATAAATGTTGGTAAACACAGGAGCCAGTTGATCAGCACAATAGCTGAGGGCTGCAGCTGACAAATTGTCTGGGCCTGTGGCTTTTCTTTTATTTTGGTTTTTGAAGATTGCTCTTAAATAATCGGTATGGTTGGAGAAAGGAGGAGGCAAAAGGGTAGATGAAAATGAAGGTAATGAGGAGACCTTCACATCAGGTTTTTCAAAGCGTGCATAAAACTGGTTGTTTATCTGGGAGACTGGGGACGTCATCCTGTTGTCAGGGATCCGGCAGGTAGTTCTCTGAGAATCCTGTGCATAGCCGAGAACTCTGCAGGAAGCAGAGGCAAACAATCCAAAATTGTAATCCAAAGGGAGAGATCAAAAAGGGAAAAGTCAAGTCCAAAAACCAAGAAAGCCAACAAGGAAATAACATGAACTAGAAAACTCAAAGATGCTTTTCAATAATGAGCAGGGTTGGGTGTGTGAAGGAACTTTAAATATGGAAGGGAGAGGAACGTGGTTGGATAATTGGTTCAGGAGTGAGAATCTGTGGAATCAGGTGCCTGTGAGAAGTGATGGGTTCAGTTAGGAATGAAAGCGTGAAACAGTGGGTTTGGGAATGAAGCAGGGTTTAAGAGGGCGAGTGCAGGACGTGACACCAGTAAGGTGACAAAGTTTTGTCTTTGTAGTTTGGCATTTCCTGAATTTTACTCCAAGCTGTTCTTGAGTTGTTGTCAGCAAATTGTTCCTCTAGTTTTTTACTGTAGTTGCTTTTAGCTTTCCTCACTGCAGAGCGCAGTTCATATTTGGCTGAGATATATTCAGTCCAGTCACCCTTAATAAGAGCCTTGTTCTTCTTACAGCGTAGGTCTTGCAGTTCTTTTGAGAACCATGGTTTCTTGTTACCATATGCCTTGAAAGTTTTTGTAGGTTTGCATACCTCTTCACAGAAACTTACAGTAGGATGTAACAATATCAGTGTATTCATCCAAAGAGGCACAAGCAGAGCTAAGTACATTCCAATCTGTACATTCAAAACACCCTCAGTCTTTCTATAGCTTCTGTGGACCAGACCTTTACTGTTTTAACTTTTTATTTGATATTTTTTCATTTTTGTTTATAATTCACGATAAGCAAAATTATTGCATGATCTGAATTTCCAAGCAGTGCTTTAAAATAGGTGCGATAGAGTGGGTCCAAGGTGCAGTAGCAGTGACTACTAATATATTACACCTAATATAAATCAAAGCATTATGAAAATAAATAAATTCTGCCATTTAAATCCAGTAACATCAAAGAAAATAATTTGTATTATGAAAGAAACTAATAGTCGTTTTGGGTGGTTGAGAGAAATAGCATGGGACCCTGACTTTAAACCACATAAAATACACGTTTTAGTAGTGGTGATTGAGGGGCATAAGGAAGGTCTGGAACAAGACAGAAATCCTGGAAGTACATTCATTCTTGCTGTCTTCATCCTTCCCAACAATGAGAGAGGCATCAGTTTCCATCTATTGAAGTCTTGCTTTATGATTTTCTAGCACCTTAGTTACATTTTAATATGTTTTCTAGGTTTTGGGTATTGCAGTTGCGAAACATTTTATCTGATCCCAATCCTATTGTAAAATATATATATATATTTTATTTCCAGGGATATAGGTTCTCTAATAACATTGCTTCAGAATTTCCTTTGTTTAATTGTGAAAACTTGTTACAGTCTGTTAGAACAGAAAAAAATGTTGAATTTCTGCTACATAATATCATCATCTTTATAAAGAGCCTGATTGTGTGTTTCTACTGCTACAGTATATCACCTCCCTCTGTATCCTTCTGTCGTCTTATACTCTGAGAGAATAAATCTGTGGTGACAAGCGTCTCCTCGTATAAATTAAAGCTGTCTGACAGAATACCATGAGCCTGTTCTTGTGCATTTGGTTGTTTTTACATTGCATGTAGACAAACAATAAAACCATGATGAAAACCAAATCCCTTACAAGTTTCAGATAGAAAAGGCTTTGATATCCTGTCAAATGCTTTTTCTGGACCCAGAATATTTCCACTTCAGTTTCAGTTTTTGTGTTTAAAGATACAGTTTAGTTTAGCCTAATAAGACTTCCAGCCAAATAGTCAATTTCCACCTGGAATGATGTCCTCTCAAACATTTGATAATATCTCTGGGATTACAAAAAGTGATTATATAGTAGAAGTATACAGTATACAGTAGAATCCTTAGATTTCTTATATGTCTTACTGTGTCTTCTCACCAAGCAGACATATCCAGGACAAAAAAACAAACAACAAGTAACAAGGAAATGAGCAAAGCTCATGGCCTTACAGTGCCTTTGAAATCCAGCGATCAGTGCTGGAGATTGGATGTGAAAATACCCTGATGTACTTTTTTGGAGATACTCCACTCCTTTGCCATTGAGCCTCTTTTATATCAACTGCACTGGATCAGCAAGAGTCTGTCCATCCCGGGCTGTCCTGATCCTACTATCTGAGACTCGGGTACACTGATGACATCATGGTCATGGCTGGGGGAGAGCAGGATGTCAGGGCTCTGTAAAATAAAAACCTTGAGGACGTTCAAGTGTTGTCATCACCTGCTCATGGCCCAGCCTTGTGTCCTGCTGAATCAATCAGGAGACTTCAAACTGGCCCTGGTCCTCTTTCTACTAGACACCTGTGGTGTTGACCTGTCCCCACTACCTCCTTTCCTCCTCAGTCTACTAGAGGAGTGGTGCTATCTATGTGTGTGGCGAGAGGAGGAGACGCCCAGTCAGAGGAAACCAGTGTGAACACAGAGAGAACATATAAACTCCATGCAGATACCTGTAGCACCATACAGTAGGTCTGGAATTGAACCAGGGCCCTGACACTGTGATACAGCCATGTTAACCACTGCTCCACTGTGTCTCCCCTCTGAAACAACCCATCAGCCACAATACTAGAATGGAAACAGAACTGGGTCATTTTTTATTCTTCACCAGCAGACTGGTCTGAGCCAGTGTCCCACAATTATACCACCTGCTGAACATGGACCTGGATGTGACATGGACCTGGATGTGGCGCTGTGTGGACTGGATGTGAGCTAATTTGACACTGTATTCACTGCAGTGTACAGGCAGATATTCATGTCTGATTCTGTCTGACTACATCTTGGGGGATGCTGTTGATGTAGGGTCATCCCCCTGATGTGCCTCCTGTTTTCCTTGCCCTGCTGAGACCTGTAATAGTCTCTTACTTTAGAGGAACTGTCTCTGGCCACAGCTGAGGGGAAAGCTCAGTACAGGCTGTGCACTGATGTCATCTGTTGTCTCTCCCTGACTCACTAGAAACCTGTATGGGGATACAGCCTGCCTGGGAAAGTCTGTACAGATTTCTCTCTCTGACACAGCGGATAAAAATTAATGTGATACCGCTGGTTACCACTATAGGGCCCAGGATATCAGCAATTAGAGCCTTCTAACTTTCAATCCTGACAGCTGCATGAAAAAAATATTTTTCTAACACCAGAACCACTGATGTCTCTTATTGAGAGCCCAGTATTAAATGCTCACGACTGACTAAATCATTTGTCGTAGAACCACGCCAAAAGCTCCACAGCCTGAGGCATACAATTTTTCTCTATAAGAGAACAATATTTGTTCTTCTCACGACCAAGCTTTATCCTTCACTCCTAAAATATTCAAATGAATACCTCGCCCAAGTATTGATTCCACACCAGCACTCTGTCTCTTTCGGAGATATCAGACAGTAAGCCAGTGGAGAGCAAGTATCATGACTGCACTGTGGAGAGATCCGGAGTGTATGGATCAGCTAGTGAGCTCGGAGTGGTGAGTTTAAATTTAATGAACAACTGAATGAAAAGAGGAGAGATTATCAGGAAAAGAGAGGAACAGAAGGGACTGGATTGTGATTGGATAAATGTCTGGAGAGGATGTGCCAGGCATCCACATTCATTCTCAAAAAAACCACTCGGGATCTGCGGAGCACAGTGAAGAGGCAGCAAGTTTCTCGATCGTCAGAGGCTGCGAGTGAACCTGATGATTTACAGATGAGAACAGTGCACACAGGGTACAGATTAGTCTCACTGGACCGTTTGTTTTTTGTAGTCAGGACTCAATCTATTTTACTGACTTTGCCAATACCATTCAGAATTTACAAATGCATTTTTTTAAAAATAAACTGTGAAATTAGATTTTGTGGATTCATCATTTCTCCTCTAAATAAGTGCACCAACGATTTTTTTCTTTATTTTGGTTTAAGAGAGGTGCATTCATTTACAGTATTTTTTTTTTGGTTTAACGGTGATGTATGTTGATGTGTTTGGGACATTTAACAGTGCATCGTGGTCTACAGTATGTGTGTTTTTCAATTTTAAATTACAGAAAGTAAGGAGGATATTTGATCATTGTAATATACTGGGCACACAAGCCTTGTGAATTCATCTTGTGATCACTGGTAGAATTACAGTTGAAATTCCAGAAAAGCGTAATATAGTCATAGATTGATTCAGGGTGGTTTTAGGTGGAGGCACTGCCAAATTCAAAGTTTTATTTCTTGTGCAATTGACTGAAGTGGGTCACAACATCGGCCACATTAAGAACCTAGGTCATCTCATGAATTATAGTCTGTATGAGTTTAATGTTATACCTCTGGTTGTGGTTACACTTCTGTGCTGTGAGATGGGCACACTTTCACTGCTATAGCACCTGCTCCCTCCTGACTCCCATGTTGAGTCTCTTCTCTAACCTTAGTCTGGCCTTCAGCAGCCCTGCTGTTGTGTTCAGGGTGAGTTTTGTCAGTAAGAAGAGAATTGAAGGCGTCGGTGTGTTGTGACTATGCTACATGTAACAGTATGCGTAGAGAGTCTTTCAGGTGTAAAAAGTGTGCAGTTATATATTTTGTACAGTACATGTATGTAGGGGTTGTGTGTATGCTAGTTATTGCTTAATATTAAGATAAGATAAGACTTATCATCCCCTGAGGGAAATTTGTATTTATTGTTATTAAATATGTATTATTTTTCTTTTTATTATTTCATGTATTGTTATAAAAATCTGACTTGTTTTTTTTTCTTTAAAAAAAATTGTTCTTCAAATGGAATTGTTTCTCTCAACAAATCTAAAAAAATCACAGATTAATTTATTACAGTGTTGGTAATTTACATTTGGGATTAATAAACCATTTTGTAGAAAAAGAACAACAAACCCAGTGTTATAACTATAAGAAGATGATGTAATAAGAAAATATAATAATAAATATAAAACAATATTTATTATAGTTAAAAGTCAAAGTCTCTCTTTCTGTTTCCCTTTCCAGTCACTGTAGCTCTGTGTGTCTCCGTTTCCCACTGTCTCCATTCCTGGCGATTTCTTCTCTTTTTCCTTCTTTCTTCTGGATCCCAAAATTTGAAGCAGCATTTATCTTCATCATCCTCATCCGTGGATACTCTGAGATGGATAATGACATGATGTTGTATATTACTGCTGAGCTGGGTGCTGTAGTGAAGACTTGGAAAGAAAGATGCGGATGAGCTGTGCAGATGTTCAGCTTTGCTCCTGTATATTTTGTCTACAGGATGCGGGACTGTGGACTGCCGGAGAGATATTGTGAAGATCTGGCCTCTGTTTTTCAGTCTCAACATTCCAGTCTGAGAGAGCTGGAGCTGAGTGATAATAAACTGGGGGATTCAGGAGTGAAACTGCTATCTGCAGCTCTGAGGGATCCCAACTGTAAATTAACAACACTGTGGTAAGTGAACACTGGTGATTTCTTTGTATTTTAATGTTTTATTTAGATATGCTGAGACACAGAATATTGCCTGTTCACGTGCTTTAGAAAATAAATACCTAGTAAGTACAGAACAAAAAAGAAGGAGGCTATATGTAAAAACAAAAAACTGCTGTGCAATTTTATACAAGTTCTTGTTTGTGGCTTCATTGTTAATATCTCATTACTAAGAGACTTGATATACAATCTATCCCATTTTGCCCACACCTGTTTGGTGTTCCAGGTTTTTTGAGGGGTTGAGAGAAATAGCATGGGACCCTGACTTTAAACCACTTAAAATAGGTTTAAGAAATGGTCATTGAGGGGCATAAGGAAGGTCTGGAACAAGACAGAAATTCATTCATTCTTGCTGTCTTCATCCTTCCCAATAATGAGAGAGGCAGCAGTTTCCATCTATTGCAGTTGATAAACATTTTATCTTATCCCAGTCCTATCGTAAATTTAATTTATTTTTGATCTCCGATATAGATTCCCTAATAACATTACTTCAAAATGCTTTTGTTTCCTATTCTGAGAAGTTGCTGTAGTCTGTGATTACATCTGTGAGAACAGGAAAGATGTTGAATTTCTGCTGCATATACTGTACTAACATCATCTTTATAAAGAGCCTGATTGTGTGTTCCTCCTGCTATATCACCTCCCTCGGTATCCTTCTGTTGCCTTATACTCTGAAAGAATAAATCAGTGGTGACAAGCATCTCTTTGTCTTGTTCCCCTGTATGAATTAAAGCTCTCTGACAGAATACCATCAGCCTGTTCTTGTGCATTTGGTTGTTTTTACATTGCATGTAGACAACCAATAAAACCATGATGAAAACCCAATTCCCTACAAATTTCAAATACAAAAGGCTGTAATATCCTGTCAAATGCTTTTTCTGGACCCAGAATAGTTCCACTTCAGTTTCAGTTTTTGTGTTTAAAGATACAGTTTAGTTTAGCCTGATAAGACATCCAGCCAAATAGTCAATTTCCACCTTGAATTATTTCTTCTCAAATATCATATAATATCTTTGTGATTATATAGTAGATTATACTGTATAGTACAGTATACAATAGAAGCCTTAGATTTCGTATGTCTTATTGTGTTCTCTCACCAGACAGAAATATCCAGGACAACAAAACAAAAAGAAGAAACAAAGAAATGAGTAAATCTCATGGCCATACAGTACCTTTTAAATCCAGTGATCAGTGCTAGAGATGGGTTGTGAAAATACCCTGACATACTCTGTCACTTTTGGTGATACTCCACTCCTTTGCCATTGAGCCTCTTCTACATCAGCTGCGCTGGGTTAGCAAGGGGCTGTCCATCCCGGGCTGCCCTGATCTTACTATCTGGGGCTCAGAGTACACTGATGACATCGTGGTCATGTCTGGGGGAGAGCAGGATGTCAGGGCACTGATGAAAATCCCTAGAGGACTTTCAACTGTTGTCATCACCTGCTCATGGCCCAGCCTTGTGTCCTGCTGAACTGAGCAGGAGACTTCAAACTCACCCTTGTCCTCTTTCTACTGGACACTTGTGGGGTTGACCTGTCCCCACTGCCTCCTTTCCTCCTCAGTCTCCTAGTGGAGTGGTGCTCTCTGTGTGTGTAGAGAGCAGGAGACACCCAGTCTATCCTGGACTCCACTGTTTCTAATTCAGGGTCAGGAGTGAGCCAGTTCCTATCCTAGCAAGCACTGGTCCAACACAGGAGCCTGTACTGGTTGTTAGTCCATCAGGGGTTTGACAGAGGAAACAAGTGAGAACACAGAGAGAACATACAAACTTCACACAAATATCTCCCCAGGTCCGGAATTGAACCAGGGCCCCAGCACTGTGATGCAGCCATATTAACCACTGCTCCACTGTGTCTCCCCTCTTAAACAACCCATCAGCCGCAATACTAGAATGGAGACAGAACAGGGCCACTTCTTATTCTTCACCAGTAGACTGGTCTGAGCCAGTGTCTCCCAGTTACAACACCTGATGGACATGGACCAGGGCTGCTGTGGACTGGATGTGAGCTACATTGGCACTGTATTGCCCATGGTGTACAGGCAGCTATTCATGTCAGTTTCTGTCTGCGCTATATCTCGGGGGATGTTGTTAATGTAGGGTCACCCCTCTGATGTGCCTCTTGAAAAGCATAACAGTGAACCCAAATAATAAACCATACAGTATATAACTAAAGATGTGATAGACTGCATCAAGTATAAAAGACTCACTTTTAAAAACCAGGATCAAGTGCAACTGAAATTACTGCAAAAAAAGCTTAAACTAAACCTCAGGAATGCAAAGAAGAAAATAACATGGAGAGTGACTTTGAAACAATGAACTCCAGGAGCCTATGGCAAACAAAGGAAACAGTCACAAACATGAATTCTTCAAAGAAGAGTATCCATACAATGGATGAGCTGGCTAAAGCAAATGAGCTGACTGACTTATCTGAGGTTTGAGACACAGGACTTCTCTGTTGCAGGTGATAGTATGTTAGATACTATTCATTCTATGGTCAATTTGAGGTCAGTAACGCAGATCCAGTCAGGAAGATTCCAGTAATCCAAGACAGAAACCCACTTATCATATCCAGAGCGGATGTGTGTAAAGTTTTTAAAAAGACCAATCCACGAAAGGCTCCTGGCCCTGATGCCATCCCTGGCCGCATTCTGAAGGCATGTGCAGACCAGCTGGCAGATGTCTTCTCGGACATATTCAATCTCTCTCTAGCTCAGTCTATAGTTCCTTCCTGCTTTAAGAAAACCACCATTGTTCCTGTTCCTAAAAAACCCAGAGTCAGCTGCCTAATTGATTACCGCCCTGTTGCACTCACATCAGTTATCATGAAGTGCTTTGAGCGGTTGGTCAAAGCATACATCACCTCCTCAGTGCCTGACACCCTAGACCCACTGCAATTTGCGTATCGCCAGAACAGGTCAGCAGAAGATGCTATTGTCACTGCCCTCCATACTGCCCTCTCACACCTGGATAAGAAAGGAACATATGTGAGAATCCTGTTTATTGATTACAGCTCAGCATTCAATACCATAGTGCCCTCAAAGCTTGTCACCATCTCCAGGACCTGGGACTGAGCACCTCCCTCTGTAACTGGATCCTGGACTCCTTGACAGAACGTCCACAGGTGGTAAGGGTGGGCACCAACATATCCTCTACCCTGACTCTAAACACTGGAGCCCCCCAAGGCTGTGTGCTTAGCCCTGTGCTCTACTCCTTATTTATTCATGATTGTGTCGCCAGGCATAACTCAAACTCCTTCATTGAGTTTGCGGACGATACAACAGTCATCGGCCTGATCACAGACGGTGAAGAGTCTGCGTACAGGGAGGAGGTTGAAACCCTGCAGCATGGTGCCTGGAGAACAACCTCTCTCTGAACATCAGTAAGACTAAGGAGATGATTGTGGACTATAGAAAACACCAGGGAGGGGATCACACACCTATCTACATCAGTGGGACTGCAGTGGAGAGGGTCAGCAGTTTTAAGTTCCTGGGAGTTAACATCTCAGAGGACTTAACCTGGACCCACCACACCAACACCATGGTCAAAACAGCACGGCAGCGCCTATTCTTTCTCCGTAGGTTAAAGACATTTGGCATGCCATCACATATCCAGGCCAACTTCTACAGGTGCACTATTGAGAGCATCCTGACTAGTTGCATCACTGCCTGGTATGGGAAGTGCTCCGCCTGGGATCACAAAGTACTGCAGAGGGTGGTGAAGTCAGCGCAGCTCATTACCAGCTGTGAGCTACCAAACATCCAGGATATCTACTCAGCTAGATGTCTGAAGAAGGCCAGGTCCATTCTCAAGGACCCCAGTCATCCCAGTCACAAACTGTTTTCCCTCCTACTGTCCGGTAAACGGTACCAAAGCATTCGGTCCAAGTCCAACAGACTACGGAACAGCTTCTACCTCCAGACAATAAGTCTGCAAAATAGCCAACCTGCAGCTCCTTTAGTAAATCACCTGTAATGGCTCACACAGTTTTCACTGTATTCAGCATAACTGCACTACTTGTACAGATGCAGCCATTCAAAATGGGTGGGGTATTTCGCGGTGTACCCCGGTGGGCGTGTCGCAGTATCACGCAGTCTCACCGGGTTAATTGTGTCATTTGACGTCATGCCGGAAAGTATCCGGCATCACCTTGTAAAACTGCCAGGAGGAGCCAATAAAGCTTAACCTCTCATGTACAGCATTTGAGCTTTT